TCACCTCAACCGTCTGATCTTGAGTTCCAAATCAATTGGTGTCAACGTCAGCGGCTCTTACAGCGCTCTTGGCATCCATCCTCGGTCCTCAATGGCATCAGCAAGATCATCATTGGCCACTTCTAATGGCGGCAGACCACTTCTCGAAAGGACAGCATCAATGACATCGGCGTCATCGACCATAGGCCGTCGTTCTAGCGGTCGATCGAGTGGAGGACAACGCCAATCTAGTGGCGAAGGAGGGCTTGTAACAGACGACGACAGCATTGGCGAATATGGTGACGGAAGCGCCTCCCTATCAGCTCAGAACCGCGCCTTGCAAGCCGACCTAGCGGACAAGACAAGATACATCCAGACGCTGGAGAAACGGCTTATGCAGGCACGAAGAGCCAGTTCTTCGAGGACTTCAGTTGGCTTCTCCGCTCCGAATAAGGGCATCATGGTCGGAGAAGACCATAGTGTGTCAACGCTTCTGCGGGAGAAGGACGCCGAGATCGCAGAGCTTCGGGCTAGGCTGGACGACAAGGATCGCATGTTGGGTGCGCTTCGGTCTGCAGCGCGTTCTCGAGACACGGCAGAGGGCCACACCGATGGCAGGACATCGGCCCTTTACGAACACAGCCCACCACCGACGGTGAACCCGCCACCAGCACCATCCGCCGCCCATAACACTCCTCGCAACCGTACCAAGAGTGTCGATGAAATGAGCAAGATCCTGGATGAGATGATCCAGGACCGCGTCGAGACGGGCCATCTCGTGAAGGGAGCACGGGGAAGCATTCGCGTCGTCAGCGATCGTAAACTTGAGGTGCATCCAGAGTTGCCTGCGGATCTCGAACCCCTCAGGAAGGCAGCATCATTTGATGAAACCAACAAGGTCTCGGTGATGGGCATGTGAGACGGTCTTTTCTGTCGGGAGTGTGAGTTTCAACGTTTATATCTGGTGTGGGAATGGTTGGACTTCGCGAGGGTGCCTCACGAGGCCAGAAAGGCGTTCGGGAAAGGTCGACAACGATCTGGTTTTTTTTTTTTTTCTTCTTATACCCTACACTTTACTTCGCCGTAGTCGCTGGTTGGAAGAACGGCGGTTCAAGTCACCCTCTTTCGACGTTAGCTGAGACTGTCGGTTTGTTTTATTAGCGTACTGATACGCCCACGAAGGAGGAGTCGGCAGAGATTTCAGGCACTGCACGACCAGGTGTGGTCCCAGTGCATTAGGCAGGCTCAGGATATTGATATTGGCGGAAGTTTCAGAGAAGGATTGGGAAAAGCGACGAGGCCTGCCTGTGGCAGTTTAATATTGGATTGATGGATGATTATGATGGCTCACGTACATCAGAAAGCAGGCCTGGTCAGCTAGCTAATAACGGATGAGCGGTTACGACATCCAGAAGAAGAGAATACCACGATCCATCAAATGCCACCATCCTTCCCGTACCCGTGCTCGTACCCGTGACTGTGGCCGTGATCGAAGCCAAACAGCGGAGATGATTGTTTCGGTACGTTTGGTTTACATGCCCGTTGGACCTACAACGCGCATATATAATCGACTTGGGGAAACGGTGTGCCAATCGCAAGGACCCGTCACAATGTGTCACGTCTTCACCTCGCGGATTGCTGCATTCTGTTTGCCACCCATTGTGACCACCAGTTCTGTTTGATGGCAACGCAGGTCGCCTCACGAGACGGAGTGCTAGCCGGGACTTGGTGAATCTAAGATTGCAGAATAGGATAGGCGGAGGACGACCGTTGAGAGAGGGGGCGGGGGAAGGGGGGGATGGCAGACGGGGCGACCCTTCTCAACGCCATACCGAAGGGGGGGGCCGCATGTTAGTCGCGATGTCAGATCAAGGCGTCTTAGTTCAACCCTAGCGTGAGTTTCTCATCTCATGCAAAATGAGTACTCGAGAATCTCAACGGTAACGTAGGAAAACTATCACAGACCATCGCAAAGACATCAGATCATCACATGGCCATCACAAAGGTGCAATCTCGGCGATTCCCGACCATCATTTTCAGAGTGCTTTCTTGGGGGAGCAAACAGAGTTTATGGGATGCAGGTTCTTCCCAAGATGACGGTCTGACGAGGCGGATCGAAGGAGAAGGAGGGGAGGGGTGCGTGAGCTTGGGTCGGGCGGGCGCGCGAAACTTTGAGGAGCTTATTTTTAGTTCTGCTTTCCTCGCTGATTTTGCACATGGGAATCTTGCGGTTTTGGGCGAGAGGCTAGATGGCTGGATCGGGAAAGGAGAAGGGAGGGGGGTGCTTGTGATGGCAAGCGGGAAAAAGGAGAGAGCAAAATCTCAAAGAGCATTAAACGTTGTTGGTGGTGGTGGTGGTCTGAAGTTCCTCCCGTGTGGCTTAGGGGTTTGAATACGGAGAGATCGCGGCGTGGCGGCAGAGACGAGACCCGATGGACGGAAGTGGCGGGTGCACGGTCGGGAGCGAGCACGGGCGCGCGGAGCGTTGGGATGTAATTTGGATTGATGGTGTTGATGACTGATTGTACGGAGTAGTTTTGGTGAGATTTGGAAAACGGGCTGCTGAACAGAGAGTTGTTTGTTTGCCCATGTGGAAGGAGGCTGAATGGGGCAGGGACACGGGTTCGAGACTTGCTGTGAGGGAGCGAGCTGATTTGAGTTTCCGGTGATGGGGTTTGACTCGGATGAAGCCTTGAAAGCCTTGTAAACCTGGATCATGCCTCTTTCGGTTTCGTTATTTTCTTTCTTCTTTCTTGTCTATCTAGGTTTCCCATGGGACTTTAGGCTTCTCCATCATCAATCTTGTGATGGGTCGGTTGGTGTTTGTTGGCGTAAACTCTGAAAAGTGACAATGACTTGTCATTGACGCGTGCGCCTTGCGATGGAGCCTTTCTTTCCCAGTTGAACAGGGAACAGTCGAGAGTGGGTTCGCGATATCTGTTGATTCCCTGGTTGCCTGCCGGGCACGGGCACGGGCGCGGTTTTGCTGCACTGCGTGATTGATGATGATGGATCGCAATATCAAAATTTGTTTTGATATGACGCAAATGGGGACTTGCACCCCCCGGTCCCGAGTACCGAATACCTACCTTGCGCAGCACGAAGTATGGCGATCTGCAGACAAAAAGGACGAAACCTAGATTGTCACTCATGACTCTCTGTCTCTTGTCAATCATTGATCACCGACCAGTCGTTGGCCTCATTTCTCTGACTCTCCCTGACTCTTTCGTGGAGCCGTGTCTCTCAGCTGCCGTCTGTCTGTCTCGGTTGGTGGGTGTAATTGCTGATCCATTGGTTGGTGCTTGGACGATCCTGTGAGTCTGTGACTGAGCACAGAGATGCTGTGTTTGGCTAGTTGAAGAAGTTGCTTGCTCCCTTCTGCCTTTGTGAGAGACTACACAGTAGGTGGTACGACATTGTACCATTTCCCCCGTCTGACGATAGTAATTCACTATTTAACTCTATCGTTTTATATTACTAGAGGATTACCGCAGTATATATAGACGCTACCCTGCCCTCGAATTCTATACTATTTAACCTTAACCCTTTTTTTACCTATCCTTTTTTCTATTTTACCCTCTCTCTTATTAAGAAATTACTAAAATTATAGTTTTAATAATTTATTAATAAGCTAGTATTATTATTTAAAAATAAATAACTTATATTTATATATAAGTACTAAGAGTTTTATTATTATAAAAATAGTAATAAATATATTAAAGTATTTAAGAGAGCTTTTTAATAAATTTTTAATACTATTTAAAGCTATAATCCTCGAGCTATAAAAAGAAGCTAAGGTACTATATTAATACGGCCCTATTTATTTTATTAATATTAATAATAGTCTTTTTAATATAAAATATATTATTAATATTCTATAGCCGTATTATTATATTTTATAAATCGTATTTAATATTAGTAAGGATTTTAATATTATTTTTTAGTTCGTTTTTTAGTTTTTTTATTAAGGCTATTATTATAAAATTAATTTAGTTATTAATATTTTAATAAGTATTTTAATTTAACTTAAAAGCTCTTATAGTCTTTAAAAAGAGGCTTTTAAAAAACTTATAATTAGACTTTTTATTTATTATAAATAAAGCTATTATAATTAAAACTATAGTATTACGAACCTTAATAATAAATAATTAATAATATAATTATTTTTTTTATAACGAGCTTAAAAAAGTATTTTAATTTAAGTACTAAGTAAGTACTATACTATTTTATTAAAACTATATTCTTATACTTATAACTTAAAAAGAATTAACTTTCTTCGATAATAAGGTACTCAGACGATAGTAATTGTGATGGTGACGCCTTGTTTTGCAGCTTGCCGTGTATTTTACCTTTTGCTTCGCTGATTTCCTCGTAATTGGGTCATACTTCAAGGTTTCAACGGCGCGGGCGGGAAAGCCGAGCTAAGATGCCACTTTAAAAAGTGCTCAGCGTGACAGCGAGCAAGGTAGGAGTCCAGGACGGCGGATCCCGCGCGCGCGGGGAGGGGAAAAAATGAACTAGAGCAGATTTTCTCTTTCCAACGGCCTGGTATATACTCAGTATGTCAACGCTCAGTAACCCAGTTTGTGCAGTGCCCTTTTCCCTCTGTTTTTCCTTGCTCGGATTCGACCCAAAATTGGGGGATCCAGAAAGGGGTCGCGACAGGGGTGTGAGTTCCCCATCTTTGATGTCCACGTGCGGCCTTCTGGATTTGGGAATGCGGATGTGTGTGCGTGTGTGCCTCGAATCGTGACATATTTTTTACGACGAGTCCGAGCCTATTACGGCGGTTCTGTACCCTTGTAACGTGCAGATGAAAATGCAGAAGCGCGTTGGGGATACGGACTTGCGAGAGGGAAGCCAAGGGGACGGGATGAGAAGAATTCGCACAAGTCATAGATTGAGGGTGAAGAGATGGTAGGAAAAGGAGTCACAAAGCGGTCCCACAGTCCCCATCACAAATATTCCGAAGGACCGTCTTATGACCTTTTTGGGAATGAGCGAACTGGAACGGCGCTTGATCATGAGTTGACACTCGTGACACTGACAGCCGAGAGGAGGAGGAACGCGCTTTCAGATTTTAGAGAAAGGAAGTGATGACCGTCTTCGGGAGAAGGTCCGGGAGGAACGAGATGGAGGTGCGATGGAGGTGCGGTAACCAAGATGCCCAATGGGAGGCCAGAGATGAGAGTAAGAGCGCCGAAAGGAGTAGAAGACGTTGCGGGAGGCACTAAATACGTCTTCTCATTGGCCTGTTGGGATAGAGAGGGGCGGATCTCATCCGAGGACCCCTGCGGCTCAGGGACACAAGAATGCGGGCTCTGACTGGCTGCTTCATCACCCCGGAGGTTCTGAAACGTGCTAAAATCGTGACCGGCGACCACATGAGGTGGGGGGAGAAGCATTTGGGAAGCTGCGACTGAACGGTGAGGTTCCTCCGCCCAACACCACACACACTTCCTGACTTCTAAAGAGGTAGCAAGCACCAAGTTAGCACCTAGGTACCTTGTGTGGATGGCATATGCACAATACCAGGAAAATACTTGCGCGGCGGGTTACCCTTGAACCATCGGCTTCCTTTTTGGGAACTTACTCAGCGCGTACTCGACCGGTCCCGCAAACCAGTCAACCAGTGTCGCAGATGCAATGCGCGCTGCTCCCCCTTCTGACCTCGGTGTCTTCTTGGAGGCGAATTTTCCACTTCTTTTACAGAGTACGGCTAGGTTGGTTTGGGGCTCACCGTTGGGCTCCGTCTGTCAAGGTTGGCCTTGAAAAAGCTACTGCCCACTTTTCATGGTGTTGCAACTTTCGCCGCGAGGTTCCGACTTTCGCGAAACCTCCCATGCGAAATACAACGCCAACCGTCCATCCGCCCGTCACAATGTAGGGACGTGTCGACGGTTGTTGGGGCTCTTTGGCATCTGCCTGGGTTCGACCGTGTGGTCACTGCTGCGGGATCGCCTTGGGTATGACGATCCCGTGGGATCTCCCTCGCTTCTTGCTTCTTCTGGCTCCCTGGCAATAGTGAGAGCAGCATTGGAGCAATGACACGACGTGAAAGGGCCAGCTGAAGATGAGGGGCTCGAGGGGAAACCCTGAAATGAGTTTCTATTCGGGGGACGATCATGATGCTGCAAGAATCAGAAACTCCGTCCCGCCCAGCCTCGGACGATCTGCTACTACTGTTGCTCTCACTGCTCTTACTGCTGGAGCCTGTAGCCTGTAAATGCTGCTCCCTCCACCATGGAACCTCGCACCGCCACGCGGCTGCTTCGGTTCATGGTTTCGCAGTTGGGTTTTCTGGGATGCTCAGCTATTGACCATTGCCAATCGTCATACCTTTTGTCAAGCACACCGGGTTTGACGCATTTTGTTGGTCCACCTTACCCCCGCCGTTGCAATTGAGCCAAAAAAGGGCAGAGACCAAAGCAGGCCGATCAGGCTGAATGCGAAAGACCGCTGGATTGGATTTATTTTTGACAACGGGCGCCCCAGACTTTTTCCTTTCCCTCTCAAGTCTTAACCGAACTCAGGTAGAAAGAAAGCGTGAGAAACATAGTCTTTGTCCTTTGTTGCAAACGCAAGGCCCGTCGCCACACCCGAGTTTCTATTAGACGAGGCACCATCACGGCACCAACACCATCACAGAAAAGCAAGAGGTCAAGGCATTGACAGCAACAGCTGACACCTCATCCCACGGACATTGACGCTGCAATTGCGCCTCACTCGCACACCACACGACACCTCCTAGACTCCTAGGAGCTCTGACACCTCTTGTCCCCCCAATCTTCCCGCCCTTCCCCATCTGCCCATCCTTCGGCCCATCTTTTTGCTCGGCACGCCGCACCCCCCTTCTGAACTTTCGCCTCTGGGTTCTTCCCCCTTCTCGGCGCTGCTGGACCGGGTATCAAGTCAAAGGCCCGGACGAACAACTCATCGTCCCATCTTCATCCTTCGCTTCTGCCCAATTACCGCGCAGTACCATACTCCCTCATCCTCTCGCTGTCACTCGAACTGGCATCGGATAGAGTTTGTCCAAAAGCCGGGAAGCCAGAGCCAAAGCCCAGAGGGGAACGCCAGGGCCGAACACAGGCAAAGACGGGGCACATTGTTGCAAACAATATACCACAGACCGCGGACGAGACAACCGGTCCACGACGCACCCAGCAGCATTACATGACATACAAGACTGTTTCGGTCGGCAAGCCGGCGTCCAACCCAGTCTATTAAGTAGTCGTCTCTCTACCCTCCCGATTTTCCCTTACAGCAATGGCTGCAGCCTGATCCAGTTTCTCCCGCTCCATACGCAACGTCCGGCCGAACATACGGGGCAATACCAGCCTCTTGAGTCCACCACTGCTTGAAGCTCCTACTCCAACCGAACCCTGGTCTCTGATGATCGCCGCCAAGACCCACCATCAGTCATTTACTTCACGCAGTTGATCGCACTTTTCATCCTTTTCGGTTGTCCCCTTTGGGTCCCCTTGGCTCTTTTTTCACTGCGTTCTCTGCTTGATTTCGGACAAGGGTCGGCCACTTTCTGCGTAGCCGCTGGATACCTTTAAGCTCCTCCTCCTCCTGCAGCTGCTACCCTGGAGGCCACGGAGTATCCGTACTGAGTGTTCGTACCTTGCCTGGAGTCTTGGCCCGAAAAGAAGAAGTTGGCCGAGTCTGCCTCACCTTGCTCCGTCCCTCACTGTCTGCCCACGACCTTACTTCTATCCCCGCCTCCCCCGGTTTCTTCACCATACTTTTCTTCTTCCTTCAGACCTGACCCGATCGCGCCCCCGGCCTCGGTCTCGTCCTGTACACAGAACGCACGCTGCATTGCTCGTCTTCCACCGCGCTGGCCACCGCATTGCCGCCTGCCCACGTCGACCTCCGATCCTGTGCGACCGTTGCTGGAACAGTTACTATCATGAACGCCTCCTAGAAGGAAGGAGATCCTCTTGCCAATGACCAACTAGGCTCGAAGCCATCCGACACTCCTTTACTAAGACCATCATCAGTCTATTTTCGATTCTGAAAGCTCCAAGCTCGAACCCTCTTACAAGATACCCATTGGGACCGCTTCTTATTAGTGGACACGACCCCCAACAACGACGACTCTACGAATTCTACTTCTTTTGGATACCAACAATTTTTCTACTACCCCGTTGCTTATAATGCGAGCAAACATGCCAGCTCCTCTGGATCTCAGCAAATCCAAGCTGTCGATTTCTGACCCGCGGATGAACTTGCGACGGTCTGCCTCACATACGGGTAACACCAACTACGAGAAGATTCCGCTGTCCGCCACCTCGTCCCGCTTCAGCTTCAATCACCTGCTCTTCTCGTCGCCGCCGCCGTCCCCAAGCTTACCGGCCCTCATCCCACCTCCCCGAAAATCACCCATCCACCCGCGGCCCAGTCGCGTATTTCGATTCACGTTTTGGTTTGCATTCGGAGCGCTTTTCCTCTACTTTGCGACCTTCCCTTTCCGGAGCATCTTCGGCGTGCCGAAGCTCAACTTGCCTCATCTTGGCAAAAACGATGACTTTGAGATGGTAGGGCAGGATGATTTGCCAGACTTCCCAACTCCTATCGTCATCACCGACAAGAGTGGCAAATCGAAATGGACTGTCTCGATCCCCCCGAGTTACGACTTCCCATTGTCAGTGAAGGAATATGGAGACATGTGTAGCAAGTGCCGTGAGGTGGCTGCCCGTGTGAGGGACATGCGACACCGTTCTCAGGTCACCGATCAGAACCTCTTGAGCAACGATGCTCCGGCCGATCCATATTTTATCGATGTCACGGAAGCCCAGGAATCAGGTCTCCTCCCGGAGTTTGCCACTAGCCAGTGGCCGAGCAAGGGTCAGGGCCGAGACGGAGACCTCGTTGGAGAGAATAAGGACTCTCTGGTTGAGAAGCCTGTTTGCCAGAGGTCAATGACTTTCGTATTGGAGACTGAAGACGCCGGAATCGGACACTCTATCATGCAGCTTTGGACCTTTTACGGGCTTGCACAGAGACAGGGCCGAGCCTTCTTCATCGACGACTCCCGGTGGGCGTATGGCAAATACACCGACATCTTCCAACCGCCTCCCATTCCCAACTGCCGCCCACCACCACGTCATGAGATGATTCCCTGCCCTCCCCGAGCTCGCCACTTGGTGGTCACCTCAGAAACGGCCAAGTCTCTTTGGGCTGGTTCTTTGAGCAAACCCTATGCCGATTTCCGTGCACAGGACGAGGAAGGTCTTCGCGAGCTATTCGATCTCGCGCACGACGGCTACCGGGCACTATTTGATCTCAACAAGGATGACACTCAGTATGTCATCAACAGGGTCAAGGAGGTCAAGACCAAGTCTCTCACAGGAGACGCCAACCCCAACGACGGTCTTGTAGTTGGTGTGCATATTCGGCATGGGGATTGTCACCCGTTGGAATACAAATACCGCGGCACATACATCCCGATGGAGATCATCGCCAACCGCGCCCAGGAGATTATTGACGCCAACTACAACAACACCGGCAGAGATGGTGCAGACGACAAACTTGCCAAGAAGCAGTCGCTGATTGTCATGGCATCCGATGACCCGACCGTGTACGACTCCGAGGACTTCAAGGGCTCGATGCGTGCCCAGGAGCAGATCCGTCTTGCCTCCAAGCAGGAGACCCACAAGCCCGCCACGGACAAGCACGTCATGCACCGTTTCGAGGACGAGTCTTTTGGATGGGAGGGTGGCTTCTTTGCGGCCATGTTCTGGAATCTTGGTCTCTCCTCAATGAGCGCGTCCAACGCTGCAACGGCGAAGAACATGCAGCTGGCTCCCTCGGCCGAGACTCTTCGACTACGCGGCTACATTGGTCGCGCGTATATGATGGACCTTGCTGTGCTCGCCAACGCCAGCGATGCGATTGTCTGCACCGTCAGCGCCATGGGTTGCCGCCTGCTTGCTGTCATGATGGGCTGGGAGTCCGCCATGGAGGCACACAATTGGGTCAACGTCGACGGGCCTTATGGGTGGACTGGTATGTCCTTCTGAGCTACCCCGATGACTGCCGCCTACATTTCTACAAAAACAATAAAGGAAGGGCATGCATGGCTTATATATTTCGGGCCATGAGGAAAGCATTCAACTATTTTTCATCATAGCATGGTTTCCGGTGTTTACGGCGTCCAAAGCAAACAAAGGCAAAAAGTACCTTGCTTGTTTTTTTTTTTTTTTTTTTCTGTCTTCCTCTTTTTTATTTCTGGCGTGGATTCTTCCTTTCTGGGTTTTTACACAAAAGAGATACCTCTGCAGTTTGATTTGTTTATATCATAACCAACTGCATGCATTCAGGGCTGGCGGATTGCCATGGCCGACGGTCGTTACTGCATCAACTAATTATATTACAAAAAAAAAAAACCAACCAG